TAACAATAGTTATTGCATTGAGATAGAATGTACCTTCCATGTTGATCTTGAATCCCCCGATTTCGGGGTTTGCAGCATTTCATACAATAATCCTATAAGCAATTTTTTTATTTTTTAATCCAAATATCAATCAATGTACTGTGAAAATTTCTCTTGTGCACTTATGAACTGAATATTCACCACTATGTTCTCATGAACAAAGAAGAGATAAGGTTTAATTACATACACACATGCACAAATCAAAGAACTAAAAATACAAGGTTAGACTGAAATGTAGTACTTTACAATATATGTATACTTTCAAACTGAAATGTAGTACTCTACAATACTACATGAACAAAAGTACGGTATTTCACGATATAAGTATGTACTTATACTAAAAAACCTATGATGGGTCAACCCGTCTAACAGTTAGCCCACCTCATACAAGAATTTGTGTGAAGAATATGTTCTGCCATTATAAGTGTACTATATTACAAATTTTACAAATTTTCTTGGCACTTGGCAGCCTAACTATTAGGCGGGTTTACCTTTAGAAAAAAAAAATGCATAATATGCTATGAAATGTCATACATTTTTTACAAATACACATATAAAACTTATATCTAGTGATGCAATACAAAAAACAAAATATATATATATATATACATATATATATATATATAAATAATATTCAGTCTTTTGTAAAATAAGTGTGATTTTTGTATAAAATGTATGATGGATCACCAGCCTAATTGTCCGCGTACAAGAATTTAGTGAAAATAGGGCGTGTTAGCTAATGAAAATTTACAAACGATCCAAAAGAATGACATCAATTTTCAAATAAGCCATTGAGAGAAATCGGGGATAGCAAGGCTTACGATCACGGCTGAGTTGGCGTAAAGTCTTGTACTCTCCGCCGCGGGAGGAGCCGTCGGAGATCTTAAACGACATGCTTCGGGGACTGTTTTCCGGCGCCGGCAACCTATGAATTGTCTGCCTAATTTTCTTCTAAATAAGAACTCGATTCAAGTTTCGTTGACTGGAGAGTTGAAAAATTGCAGAGCGGTTTCGACGGGCAAAAAGGTCGTTAAGTTGTGGGGTGGGGGCGCATAATTTTGATCCGACGTGTGCTCCTCTTTATATAATATATATGTGTTATACAAACGGGAAAGATAAAAGACACAAAATAAAAAACGGATAAGAATTATACTCAATATTTTCTTTCTTCTTTTCTTTCTGAAATTGTGTGTGTACATTCACTACATTGACAATGCCTTTTATAGGCAAATTTGCCGACACAATATATATAAATAATGCACATCTCATACCCATTACTATTCACTTTACTATTCTCATTTATTACAAATAGTGAAATGTAACTATCGAGGCATAGTGGTTTATTCCACTTGTTTCTAACACTCCCCCTTTGAATTACCACTATGCAATGTGCGTTTATGCTGCCTCATTAAAAACTTTATCCGGAAAAACCCTGTGGGAAAAAAACCGAGATAAGGAAAAAAGAGTACAGCCGCACATGCTCCCCCTCAAGTTATCATCTGCGTAAATCTCGAAGATGTCTCATTCCAATGTTATGGACATGCTTTCGGAACGTTGTAGTTGGGAGTGCCTTTGTAAACAAATCTGTTGCGTTATCGCTTGATCGGATGTATTGAATCTTGACCTGTTTGTTCCTTTCAAGCTCTTAAGTGTATGAGAAGAACTTTGGTGGGATATGTTTAGTTCTGTCACTCTTGATGTATCCTTCTTTAGTCTGAGCGATACATGTTGCATTGTCTTCGAATATCACCGTCGGGTCTTTATTATTCGATAATCCACTGCTTGTTGAATGTGTTGAGTCATGTTTCTGAGCCAGATGCTTTCCCTAGTTGATTCATGAAGTGCAATGATTTCAGCATGGTTTGAAGATGTAGCAACTAGTGTTTGTTTCTGAGAACGCCAAGAAAATGCAGTTCCACCAATAGTGAAAACGTAACCAGTCTGAGATTTCGCCTTATGTGGGTCAGATAAATATCTTGCATCTGCAAAACCGATCATCTCATGTTTTTTATCATTTGAGTAAAATAATCCCAGATCGATTGTTCCTTTGAGATAACGGAATATATGCTTGATTCCATTTAGTGTCTCCTCGTAGGTGACGAGTTATATCTTGCTAACAAGTTGGTAGCAAAAGATATATCTGGTCTGGTGCAATTAGCAAGATACATAAGAGCCCCTATTGCACTCATATATGGTACCTCAGGACCAAGTATTTCTTCATTTTCTTCACAAGGTCGAAATGGATCCTTTTCAACATCCAATGTTCGGTTAACCATAGGAGTACTAAGGGAATTAGCTTTGTCCATATTAAATCGTTTCAGTACTCTTTTAGTATAGTTAGATTGATGGACAAATATCCCATTTTGTACTCTCTCTATCTGTAAGCCAAGGCAATATTTAATTTTTCCAAGATCTTCCATTTCAAATTCGCCTTTTAGAAAAGTGACTGCTTCTTGAATTTCATTTGTTGTCCCAATAATATTGAGATCATCAACATAGACAGCAATTATCACAACTTCATCATGTGATTTCTTTATAAAGACACACGGACATATTTGATCATTCAAGTATCCTCTTTTTAGTAATTGTTCACTCAAACAATTATACCACATACACCCAGATTGTTTTAATCCATATAATGATCTTTGCACTTTTAACGCACATAACTCTCTAGGTTTAGAGTTTAGTGCTTCGGGCATTCTGATACCTTCTGGAATTTTCAAATATATGTCGGTGTCTAATGATCCATACAAATAAGCAGTTATAACATCCATGAGACGCATCTCAAGATTTTCATGGATAGCTAAACTCATCAAGTATCTGAAAGTAATTGCATTCATGACAGGGGAATATGTCTCATCATAATCGATCCCAGGCCTTTGGGAAAATCCCTGTGCAATAAGGCGACCTTTATATCTCGTGATCTTATTTTTCTCATTTCTTTTTCTGGTGAAAACCCATTTGTATCCAATAGGTTTTATGTCTTTTGGTATAATGGAAATAGGCCCAAAAACTTTTCGTTTATTGAGTGAATCTAACTCGGCTTGGATGGCGCCTTCCCATTTATCCCAATCATGTCTTTTCTGACATTCAGTTACAGATTTTGGTTCAGGATCCTCAACTTCATTTTCAATTTCTTTTGATACCATATATGCAAATGCATCATCAATATTTTTTATCTCATCACGCTTCCAAAGATTCCCATTATTTACGTAATTGATGAAAATATCAATATTTTCATTCTGTCCCAAAATTTTTTTATCATCTTGATTCTTTTCCAAATTCGGGTCACGAATTTCTCTTTTCTTTCGAGGATTCTTATCTTTAGACCCAATTGTCTTCCTTGTTTCAAACGTGTCTTTGACTCATTTTGCACATCATTATTTGCCATTTCATTTGGAATCTCAATTCGAGCAGGGGCATTCACAGCTTGCACATGTGATTTGGTCACCCTTTTTATATCAGTAAATGCATCTGGCAATTGATTTGCAATATTCTACAGATATATGATCTTTTGAACTTCTTGCTCTCTTTGTTTGGTGGGAGGATCAAGATATGATAGTGATGATGTTCTCCATTCAATATTTCTCTCAATTGATTTTTCAATCCCACCTAAGAGGGGAAACAATTCTTCATTAAAATGACAATCATCAAACCGAGCTGTAAAAACATCACCTGTTTTCGGCTCAAGGTATTTGATTATTGATGGAGATTCATATCCAACATATATTCCTAGCCTTCTTTGAGGCCCCATTTTTGTACGTTGGGGCAGAGAATTGGTACATATACTGCACAACAAAAAACTTTTATATGTGCAATATTTGGCTCTCGACCATATGCCAATTGTAATGGCGAGTATTTATGATATGCACTTGGTCTAACTCGAATTAGATCATCTGCATGCAGAATAGCATGTCCCCATACTGAAGCATGAAGTTTTGTTCTCATTATCAATGGTCTAGCTATGAGCTGCAGTCGTTTAATCAATGATTCTGCTAGACCATTTTGAGTATGAACATGTGCCACATGGTGTTCAACATCAAATTCCATTGTCATACAATAATCATTAAATGCTTGAGATGTAAACTCACCAGCATTGTCAAGTCTGACCCTTTTGATAATATAATCTGGGAATTGAGCCCTTAACTTAATAAGTTGGGCGAGTAATTTAGCGAATGCCACATTTCGAGTTGATAACAAACTCACATGAGACTATCTACTTAAGGCATCAATCAACACCATAAAATATCTGAATGGACCACAAGGTGGATGAATAGGTCCACATATATCACCATGAATCCTTTCTAAAAATAATGGTGATTCATGTCCGACTTTAGCGTGTGATGGTCTCAGTATCAATTTTCCTTGAGAACATGAGGCACATGTCAATTCATGTGTTTGCAATATCCTCTGATTTTTTAATGGATGGCCATTAGAATTTTCAATTACTCTTCTCATCATTATCGAGCCAGGGTGGCCAAGTCGATCATGCCAAAGTTTAAACATTACTTTCGATTTTGAAATGACTGCAACATAAACCTCGATTATATTTATGCGGGTATAATATAAACCCGAGGATAGAGCGGGTAGCTTCTCCAAAACACATTTGTTTCCCGCAATATTTGAGGTAATGCAAAGATATTCATCTCCCCCTTTATTCATAATCTCAATGTGATATCCGTTCATACGTATATCTTTAAAGCTCAACAAATTTCTTGTTGATTTTGGGGAGAATAGCGCATCATTTACTATAAATTTTGTACCTCCCATCATAAAAAATATGGTTTTTCCAGAACCCTCAATTATCTTTGCACTTCCAGATATTGCGTTTACGTTTGTTTTATTTTACTTCAAGTTAACGAAATATTTTCTGTCCTTGAATATAATATGAGTAGTGGCACAATCCGCAAGATATATAACTTCATTTTGGATTCGAGACCGATCCATGATCTAAAAGGAAACAACATTTATTATTGATCAAATTCGAAGT